GAACGCAGAATCTGCAAGTCTGTAAGCAGCCTTGCACCATTCTTGGTGTGGATATATATTCTCCTTTCTTTTGGGTAAGCGTGGAATTGTCGGGTCATGGGGTAGGTGTGGGCATGGATTTGTTAGGAGCTGCCAGGCCTTTTCCTACAGGGTTTGTGCCCGTTGCACCCTCACCAATAATGTACAAACACTCAGGTGCTTTGTTCCTGGGATCTTTGGATCTCAGGCCTGCTTTGGGCTATGCTGGTATTTCACTGTGGTTGAATGCAGATGTATTAGTCAGCTTTGTCCAAAGAAAGAGAACCAGAGGGACATATGGAGAGACATCAGCGGAGATTTATTGTGAGAACTTTCCTTACACAATGATGGAGGCTGAGAAGTCCCAGGACATGCTGTCTATAAGCCTAAGAACCAGGAAAGCTGTTGGTGTCATTGGGTCTGAGGCTAAAGGCACGAGGACCAGGAATTTCGATGTCCTAGGGCAAGAGAAGATGTATGTGCCAGTTCAAGAAAACGCAGTGCATTTGCCCTTCCTCTGCTTTTTGTTCTATTCGGGCCTTCGGCAGATTGGATGATGGCCGCCCACATTGGTGAGGGAGAACTTCTTTACTCAGTCTACTGATTCAAATGCTCACCTCTTCCAGAAACACCCCCACAGACACATCCCGAAATAATGTCTTACCAGCTATCTGGGCATCCCTTAGGCTAGTCAAGTTGATGCATAAAATTAACCATGACATCAGCTTATTTAATAAACTGGCCATATCTGCATATTTGCTCATTTGCCTAATGAGTTATCTCTGTCGAGCTCTGTGAAAGCAGAGATTTTTCATTCGTTTAGTTCACTGCTGAATTCCCAGGGCTAGAACAGTGCCTGCCACCTAGAAGCTGTCCAATAAATAAATGTGGGGGGGAATAAAAAAAAACAATGAATGTACGGATTCCTTTTTATTATTAATAGATCCCAGGGCTAACTTAACACAGCTTGGCAGATATTGGGTATTTAATAAACATTTAATAGAAAGAAAGGAGGGGAGAAGGAAAAAAGAAGGAAGGTAGGAATGAAAGAAAGAGTGAAGGAAGAATGGAAGAAAGGGAGGGAGGAAGGAAGGAAGGGAGGAAGGAAGGAAGGAAGATAGGGAGGGAGGGAGGAAGAGAGGGAGAAGGAAAAAGGAAGGCCAGAAGGCAGAAGGG